CTAAATATTTGTCTTACATTCGTCCTCTTCCTCACGTGGGGAAAATTGTCATATATTTTTGAATACTGGAAATAGTACACTGTCTGAGTTTTGATCAACTGTTCCTTAGGGAAAGACAGTAGTGGGGAACTCTGATGTGTAGTGTTTGCCAGCTTCCCTGCTATGAGTCCAACCATGACCAATTTCAGGCTAAGCTACTATGGGGGGACCATTGGATGCTGATAGGGAATTGGGAAGAGGTGCACAGGATAGCTCTTGCTAGGTACATAAGCTGTCTCCTTCTGTACAGATATTGTTTCTGGGTACAGAATTTTTCTTTGTGATGTGTACAGGCAAGTATGAGAAATCAACTCGTGATCTTGGGACACATTGTGTTATGCTGTTTCTCAAGCTTTGAGTCTCCTTCAACATATGGTGTCTATGTCATAGTGCAACCAAAGCTGAAGTTGAACAAGCTTTAATTGTCCTTTTTGTTATATATTACTCTGTTATTCTTTATTCTACTTTTATCTACTTAAAGCAGTAAATTGTTTGGGTATTGCTACTCTTTTTTTTTTTTTTTTTTTCCTTTCACATATTTAGTACAGAGTCTGCAGAGTCTCACTATGTAGATCGGACTTGTAGTGATTCTCCTGTTTTCATCCTCCCAAGCACTGGGATTACTGGCTCGTGCCACTACACCCAGTCTCAATCACCTTCTCAGCATGCCCTGGGGGTGGGGGTGGAGCCGGTACCACACACCAGGGCTAGAACCGAGGCTGCCTGCCGCACTCTTCCTAACCAAGTACTTTATTTAGTCTGCTGAGCTATCTGGCCAGTCCTTGCTACTCTTTTTCAACACATACATGACTTTCTAGATGTTAGACATTATTTTAAATGCTCTGTAGATATTGACTTAGTACTTCATTATAACCATCCTTTTAGGTAGACATTGTGTTTGATCATTTATGTATTCCTTGGTGATATTATGTCTTTTCTACCTCAGTGACTATAGTTTCCAAATATCAATGTTTACCATTCACTTTGGGTTGTATTGTTACTTACTGCCTTTTCCCTCTAGCTCCCCAAAAGAATTATGACCAGAAGTGCTTTTAGTGCATTGTATTTTTAAATTTTAAAAAATTAAACCACTCATTATCTTTTTTATTTTTATTTTTTTTTTAATTTTATGTGTTTGGAATAGGGTCTCACTACACAGCTCAGACTTGTAGTGATCCTCCTGTTTTAGCCTCCCTGGTGCTGCAATTAAAGGTGTGTGCCACCATGCCCTGTCTTGGTGGCTGGCTCAGAGTGCCTGGGGCGAGGCTAGCATGGCATGTAGTACTGGGTATTGATCCTGGGTCCTTGCTCTTGCCTAGGCAGGAGCTTAGACCTTGAGATATCTTATATGCCTTTTATATGCATTAACTCACTTACTAAAGTCCTGGGATGTAGACACTGTTGATTGCTTTAAAGAAGAGTAAACAGAGGCATGGAGAGACCAGCGACAGTTTCCAAGGTCACACAGCCAGCAAGTAGCAAAAGCAGAGCTTGAATTGCCAGCCTTTAGCCCCTGTACCACAGTGACTGTGACACAGGCAGATGAAATAAAGCCTTGGGGCTCAGGAGAGAAGAAGTAGACTTTACTCTTCATTCAACATGAGCTCAGAGCAAGAGGAAGACCCACTTCAGGGAAAATGGAGTCAAAGGCGACTTAAGTGGTGACATGGGCAGAGGCATCTGAGGTGTGACACGATTCTTCCTTCTCAGCAACCAGATGACAAATCACTATTCCAAAGAAAGTGTAACTAGTCTTGAACACTCTCCAAATTGCATTTTTCTCATGCATTTTTCTCTTATTCTTCCCATCTCTGCTTGCCTGGTACTTTTCAAATGAGCCTGTTTTGAGGCTCACTTCTCAGATTAACCCCTAGACTAATTCAAGTTGCTTTAATAATTTTTGTCACAGAATTTGCCATTGCCCCTCCATATCCACAGTTTCTGCAGGTTCAGCCAGCTGTGGATTGAAAATGTTTGGGAAAAAATTGCATCTGTTTTGAACATCTAGCAACATTTTTCCTTGTTATTCCCTAAACAATATAGTATACTATATAGTAATGACATTATATTAGAGATTGTAAGTATTTTATGGTGATTTTTTTTTTCTTTTTTTGAACTGGGGATTGAACTCAGACACTTGCACTTGCCAGGGAAGCACTTATTCCACTGAACCATCTCCCCAGGCCCTTTATGGTGATTTAAACTACATGGGAGAATTTTTTTCCACTGAGGTATTCATGTGTTTTACATCACTAGAAAAAGAATCCCAGGATTTTCCCTCCTGGGATTTTTCATCTTGCTTCCTCATGGTCTATGATGACAGCTGAGGTTACCAACACAGTGAAACCAAACAGATGGAATGGGGTAGATTATTCTGTTACTTTTCCAGGTCTTTCAGCTTCACATCAAATGTGGGGCTGATTATTTAAAATTTGTCTATGTGGCCATGTTTCATGATCACAGTTAGAAACCAGATGATGACTAGAGCATGGCCAATAATGACCTGGCATTCACCTCTCTTTCCAGCACTGTTGATGCTGAGAGCAGCAGCCAGGACATTCACACGCACCAATATGGCAGCCTGGCAGGGTGGTGGAAAGGGCTTCAGGGGAGAATTTTATATGGGCTCGAGCGTCCATGCACTGAGTCCCCACGGGGCCTCCAGGTTCCAGTACTGTGGGGTGACTGTGCTGTGTTGCTCACAACAGCAAGTTTTATTCTCAGATATTATGACTCCCACTGATTGTGTAGGAAATGTTAATGTGTCACTTCTTAGTGTCACTTCCTGAACGCTGAATTTGCAACCTTTCAGAAGTCCAAACTACACACTGTGTTCATGGCCAAGGGTTGGCAAGGTCATTTGGAGTTTTGTTCAAACAGCTTTTTCAGCTAAGAGAGGTGAAGGTGGATCCTCCAGGTCATGACATCCATACTCTACAGAATATATATTCTATAATGAATTTCTTTTAAAAAATAGTAAGAGATGCAGTGGGCATTTAAGTTGAAAAAGAGATCACTTCCTTTATCATTATTATTTGATGACGATGATGATTATGAGACAGTCTCTCTATGTAGTTCAGGCAGGTCTTGAACTCACTGTGAAGCCCAGCCTAGTCTAGAACGCACAGCAATCCTTTTGCCTCAGTTTCAAATTCTCAAGTGCTGGGCTTACAGATGTTTGCCAACATATATGGGGAATCTTAAGCTAATAGCATAGTATTTTGTTTTTCACTCTAGTATTGTTTGTCAAAATGAAAACTATTCAGGCCATGGTGATTCCTTAAAAAGCTTTTAAAGGGTCATGAATCCTGGTATTAAGTTTTCACTGATTCATATCTGAAGCAATGTTTCATTGAGGATTTAAATTATTTTTTAATTTACAAAAATGTTCAATTCACCTTAAAATTTTAAGTATTTAATTGTGTAAGTAAAAGCTAGTGAAGTTTGTGTCCTTTAAGTAAACACTTATTTATAGTAACAAAATGTTTTATTACTCATGAATCATAATTTATTTTAAAATGTTTTCACTTTCAGCTCAGTGAAGTTCAATAATGTTTTATTGACTTTGACCTTTAGTGCTATTCAAAGTAATGAGTCTCTTTAAATTCTTATCAGGCAATATGGTGGCTTTGCTTGTTCACAAAGCAAACTATTAGGGATGATAAATTCTTCACAAAAAAGTGGTGTTTCAGTGGATTAAATGTACAAGGAAGTGTGCTATACCTTTCATATATAAAAGCAATGCTTTGGGGCTGGGAGCATAGTTCAGTGATTGAGTGTTTGCCCAATGGAAACAGAACCAACATTGAACCACCAGTGTCTTGAAGGACAACAATACAATGACCACAACTCCATCCACAACATTGTAGGTCTTGAGATTTGAGAGTCCCTTCATAATTTCTAATCCTGAATACATATAATGAAGGCTGAAAACACAGTGTGGACACACACACACACACACACACACACACACAATCATGATAAGACTAATGACTTTTCAGAGCACTGGAGTTTTGACCAAGTATAGCTTCGTGAGCATAGGAGAGATCCCTGGATCAACTAATCCTACTGACCACTTCAAAAACCTTTGAGAAAGAACAGTTTGAGAATCTTGAATTCAGCCCCAGGTGGTGGCACACACCTGCAATCCCAACACCCTGAGAGGCTGAGGCAGGAAGATCACAAGCTTGAGCCCACCCTAGGCAACTTAGTGATTTAGCAAGATGTTGTCTCAAAATAAAGAATAAAAAGGTCTGGGGAAGTAGCTCAGTGCGAAAGCTCTGGGTTCCATCTCCTTCAGGGGGAAAAATCTTCACATCAGCACATTACTCTTCACTATGATTCTCTAGAGGTCAAATAGATTCCCTCTCAGCCCTGAAATCCTTGCCTAGATATCTGTGGAATACTGATTCCTGTGAACCTGTGTCATCCTACAAAATGACAAGGTTGGACTGGTGAAACTTTAGATTCATTTGATTTTATGGCACATATGTTTTGCAATTTGCACATGATATCTTGCTGGAAGCAGTTATAAAGTTATAGATTTGTCATCTGGGGTTAAACAAATCTTGGTGTCAAATTCCAGCTCTGCCTAGTTCTAACTATAAATTTGGGCATCATTTAACCTTAAGAGCCTCCATTTCCGTATTTGTCAAATGTCACAGTAAATCCTACCTTTCAGTTGTGTTCCCAGGACTGAGTGAGGTAATGTGTGATCATGCTTAGTTCAGTGACCAGTCATGGCTTTTACTGTTAAATGCTACAAATTCATGAACGTCTAGATCCAGGGAGATATGAGACACCAAGAACCTTCCCTATCTCCATTGTTATCTTTCACTGTGATATAGGACTCCACTGAGAGAATCCATAGAATATTATTTTTTACTTGAATTCAAATTTTGTTAAAATTTAAATTAAAAATATTTATTTTAAAGTAAAATGCACACATCAATTTATTGCAGGTCACGAAGACAGGTACATCCATGCAACTTCTTTGCAACAAATAAAAACTGTGACTGAGCAAGTGGGACAGAATGAAGGAAATTCTGCACTTTCCCAGGCAACCAAGACGACTGGGGTGTTGCCGGCACTGAGCCATGTCACTGAGGCACCCCAGGAGCCCTCCTTTGACTCCGGAATCCTAAAGATAATGTCTCAGAGAGACATCCGGGCGGAGATATTCCTGTGGAGCTTTCTGCGGTGGTCTGACACCATAGAAATGGTGCGTGTGGCTGGTCACCCCAATGTGTACAAATCGGGCTGGCTGTACCCAGTCTACATATTCAGTTTCCTTTCTGTGCTTCGAATTATATTTACTCCCCAAAATCCTCTCCTCAATTCCTTGAGTATCCTGTTGCAGGATTTGCCCTTTGTTTTTGTTAGATTTAGTTTAATCATTGTTTTGGGGACCATCACACCCATATTAGGGCTTTGTAAAAATGTACTTGTGACTCTCTCTTATGTTTACTTCAATTATTTAACCAAATTCAGGCCTTTCTCTAGCTTCGAAACGTCTCTGTCTTGAAAATGATGTAAGATAGTCAGATTTTTTCATTATGGTTATGTGAACATTTCAAACAATATTTTCTTGGACTTCAACTAGATAAAGAAAAAAGATTGTAGTGAATAAACTGTTTTATAATTAGCTTATCAGTCTTTTATGTTTACAGGTGGTGCTAAATTTAAACAAGGTTGTATGCTGGTAAATTGGCTCTATGGGCCTCTAGAAAATGCTAGCAATTAATTTTAGTTATGTGCATTGGATTTTTTAAATCTAAAAACCAATCTTTATTGAAGCCTTTCCAAAAAAAACAAAAACAAAAACAAAAACAAGAGCATGTTTTCTCTGTAAGTTAAATCAAGAAAGATTTAGTTATAGATTATTCTTATTTTTTTAAATCTAAAAATTGTGATTTCAGGCTCTCCAGTTTTTTAAGGATGTTTTTCAAGCATAAAATTATATATACACTTTTTTTTTTTGAGTTTTTTAAATTTGCATTTGAGTTTGCTGTTGTCATTTGCTTGTTTTTGCTTTCTTTCTCAGTGCCAGGGATCTCACACAGCCACACCAGCGCCCTACCGCTGAGTTGTACCTGAGCCCAGGAGCTATGTTCTTTATTGTGCTGTAGCAACTGACTTATTTCAGCGAGTGATTTCAAAAAGTGATTACGTTAACAGATATGTGACTCAGTGTGAGGCTGCGCTGTCTCGGTAGTGCTGCCGCAATGATAGGAACGTCGTTCAGCATAGTGAGATTGCGGTGCATGGATACCTGGTAAAGTTCTACAATAGGAAGCCATGAAATGAAAACGTGGGTTTCAAAGTATAAGAATCTTTTATTTATGGAATTTGTAGAGATAAAGTCAAATAGAGGCCCTATTTAAAATTCTGACTTTAACTTACATATGTATTAACAAAGGTGCCTTATCTGCTACTGTATTGTGGATATCGATACCTTAAAATCATTAAATACATAATCATGGAATTTGCCTTTACTAGGTTGGACTCTGTGATGCAGAAGTGTCTGAATTACTCAAACAATAGTCATGGATCACAAATATTTTAATGGGGGCTGACTAAATAGCTCAGCAGATTAAAGCGCCTGCTTAGTACCTGGAGCGCACTGAGATGGCGATTGAGACAGGGTGTGGTGCGTGCCTGTAATCCAGCTCTTGGGAGGCTGAACACAGGCGATCACTATGAGTCTAATCTGCATAGTGAGACCCTGTAGACCCTGTACTAAAATACAAAACAAAACAAAACAAAACAAATAAACAACCCCTCTAAAAAAAACCCCAAGTATTTTAACGGTACCATCCCCAAGAAATGCATACCTTAATACATGGCTTCAATTCTCTTGTTTTATTCTTTTCTGTATCCCTGCTTACCTTCTGGGAATCATACCTTAAACCTTACATTTGTGAAAAACAATGCAGTCTATTTTTGTTCTTTGTTTTGTTTTTATGGTACTTGAAATTGATCCCATGGAGCACTAAGCTATATCCTCAGCTCTTTTTACTTTTGACAGGACCTTGTTAAACTGGCCTTGAACTTGTGATCCTTCTGCCCTAGTGTTCTCAAAGGTATAAGCCATTGAACCAAAAAATTGTAGCACTTTTTAAAGGCTTTCACATTGTGTTTACTTTCTTGAGTTTCTCATTAATCTATTAGCTCATTAACTGAGGGAAGGGAAGGCCTTGTCTTGTTTCACTGTGCTTTACCTTTATACATTTATTGTATTGGTACTTATAATAAGTATGCTAAAAAATGAAAAAATAATGTAAATAATTTCAAATTCCTTCTTGGTGATCTTTTAATTAAAAGAATAATGTAAATAAGATTAATTTTTAATGTTTCTATGTATGAAAATATCTCAATAAATATATATCTATTTTACATTGGAATGTATAAATAGTGCTCTGAGAAATTCAAGAATATTTGAGTTTACAATGCGTTTTGTGCCTGATATTTGAATGTGAATGTGCCTTGTGTTTTGGGGGTGGCAACACTATATAAATAATGAAAATTATGTTTAGTTGGAAAGGCATTGAATATCTAATTTAATTCGAGTGTACACTTGCTTATACAGTTCAAGCCAATGCTATTTAGTAGACATTATGGCAAGTTAGCTGAGCAACATTAATTCTTTACTGTGTGTAGTGGGTTGTTAACTTGTGATACCCAGATGAATTGAACTATCATGGTGCTGGGTGTGGAAGGCCCACCTGAAGATTGGTGCCAGCAGCAGAAGAGGCAGAAATGGAGAAGCTGTTGAGAGGTCATTAGGAAAGCTGTTTGGAGAAGCTGTGCGAACTGTTGGAAGCTGCTGGTTCTCTTGGGCTTTTCTTCTGGAGGACCTTGCTATGCTGATTTTCCTGGTGAGCTTGGCTATTCTTGTCAGAGGAGGAGCTTGGAACCTGCATTGTTGGTGAAGTGGCTGTGGTTCATTTGGGGGAACTCTGATCCTTATCTTGAGCATCGCTTCCTGACTCTGGAGGGGAAGATGGCGCACTGCTCAGCCTCATGGAAAAGCTTGTCACATTGACTTTCCTGATGGGAATTCAGCTGTCTACATCACTGGAGGAGCTTGGGACCCCATTCTTGCTGAGGATGGCTGTGGTTCTTTCTGGTGGAGCTCTGGTTCTTACATTGAGTGTTGCTTCCTAGCTCCAGTTCAGATCCCTCAGCCTGCTAGCATAGATCCTACATTCCACTGGTGCAGACCTTCTATCTTCACCTTTGGGCCTTTCCAGCACAGACCCATGAAGCAGGCCTGCATGTTATGGGCTCTAGGTCTCCAGTTGGATTCGTGAGAGGCATTGCTGTGGGCTGTAGGTCTTCAGCTGGATTCTTTGGTCTTTAGAGTGTGGACAGATTTCTGCACTCTTTGTATGTACTTCTTTGGCTGATTCCTTATACAATATGTCTTGCATTGTATTGGTCACCTTGCAAAACCCCAAACTACTACACTGTAATTGAAAGGTATGTTATTAAAATTATATTGTAATTCTTATAGCTTCTAAAGGTTGTTGGTATTAAGTTCTATGTAGATTTTTTGTCCTAATAAAATATTTAGTTTTCTGCTCTGTAAAAGTAACTCTGTAAAACATAGCTGACTCTATGTTAGGTCTATGATATTTTATACCAAGTAAAATTTGGAGCCCAACCCATAAGATGTCTTTGTTAAATGTTAAGTTCATTCTAAGGTGAGTTGTTCAAGGATATACTTAAACATTTTTCTGTGGCCAGGGATACAGCTCAGCAGCATAACCACCTGCCTACCTTGCAAGTACAGGGTTCTGAATTCCAACCCCATTTTTCTGTGATCATACTATCTTGTTCGGTCTAAATTTTTAAATAAAAATACTTTAATAGACTTTTTAAAAAAGTGGCTCTTCTTTCTAAAAGTTGATGTTGAAGATTACAATATGTAAATGTTACAATCTTTTCTGAAAAATATTTTTGTGACAAGTCTCACTATTTACTTTAGGCGAGGCCTGAGTTTACTAAGTAGCTTAGGCTGGCCTTGAATTCTTGTTGATCCTCCTGCTTCAGCCTCCCCAGTGTTGAAATTATATCTAGCCTCAGTCTTCTTTTTCATCTAATGGCCTTGTTTCATGGAAGGATGATAACAGTAAGGGTTAGGAAAGGAGAGATAAATGAAGTAATTTGTTGATACCTATGCTGTTCTGAGCATTGGGTTATATGGCTGACAAGAGAGTATTTGGTGTAGATGGTCTAGGAGCAAAGCTTGATTTAGTGAACAATTTCAATAGTTTTTGCTCATCATAGGCATTAAAATGCATATTGAATTAACCTCCACAGAAGAACAATATACCACTTAGAAGTCATCGTACTTAAGAATAGGCACACAGTCCAAAGAGGAGAGAGTAAATAATAAAAGGCAAAGTGCATATAGTGTCTACATCTGGAGGCATCTTATTTCACACAGTGGCTATTTCTGTTAATCAAAAATAAAAAAAAGTAAAACGTTAGCTTAATGTTCAGATTCCTGGCTGTTTGCCTATCCACTTTTTAGGCTTTTTTATAATTTGATCTAAACATAGAGCCAACAAAATCAAGAGGTGAGAAACTAGAGAAATAGTCATGTATACCAGACATACAGGAAAATGGAGACCCAAATCCCTCTGCATTAGAAGAGTGTTTGAAGCCTGGAGTGGTAGCACAATCCTATAATCCCAGCACCTGAGAGGCCAAGGCAGCAGGGCCACCCTGAGTTCAAGACCAGCCTAGGCTATATAATGAGTTCAAGGGCAGTCTACACTGCATAGTGAGACCCTCTGTAGTGGATTTCTAACTGGTGGTCAGCTTACTACACCCAGCTGAATTAAACTAGCATGGTGCTGGCTGTGGGAGGCCCACCTAAGGATTGCTGCCAGCAGCATAAAGGCAGATCAGGAGAAGCTTCGAGGACACTGTTAGGGATCCTGTTCTGAGAAGCTGTTGGAGTTGTTGGAAGTTGCTAGTCCTCCTGGGCTGTTCTGCTGGAGGTCCTTGTCATGCTGGCTTTCCCAATGAACTTTGGAGGAGCTCTGGTCCTCATCTTGAGCATGGCTTCCTGGCTCTGGAGGGAAAGATGCACACTGTTCAGCCTCCTGGAGAAGCTTGTCTCATTGGCTTTCTAGATGAGAACTTGGCTTTCCTCATCACTGGAGGAGCTCAGGACTTCACTGTTGCTGAAGATGGCTGTACTTTTGGGGGAGCTCTGGTTCTTACCATGTGTGTTGCTTCCTGGCTCTAGTTCAGATCCCTCAGCCTGTTAGCGCAGATCCTTCATCCCGCTGGCATAGACTTTCTAGCTTCCACCACTGACCTTTGGGCCTTTTCAGCACAGATCCATGAAGCAGGCCTGCATGAGGCTTTGTTGTGGGCTCTAGGCCTCCAGTTTGACTGGTGGGAGGCATTGTTATGAGCTCTAGGCCCTCATCTGGGTTCTTTAGTGTTTAGTGTGTGGATAGGTTTCTTGCACTTGTATATAATTCTTTGCATGATTCATTATAAAGTATTATAGAATATGTCCTTATTGTATTGTTCCCCTTGCAAAAAACAAAAACAAAAAACCCCAAACCATGACACCTTCTCTCAAAGAGCCAGAAGCAACCAACCAAACAAACCCAAAACAAGAGTTTGTCAAACCCTTATAGAAGAACGGTACGGCCCCATGAATTTGGAACAGTGCTCAAACATGTGTGCATCAACACTGCTGTGTGTGATTTTCAGAGCCTTTGGAAGAATGCTTTCAGCTTAGGAGTCCAAAATTTTTCGCATGTCTGG